AGTCCCGAAGAAGGGAGACCTCAGTGTTTGCAAGAACTGGCGAGTAATCACGCTCCACACCTGTCCACCCCAAGCAAAATATTAAGCCGCATCATCCTGGAGAGGCTAAAGGATGCACTGCATTCAAAACTACGACCGGAACAGGCAGGCTTCAGGAAGTACAAATCATGTGCCAACCAAATTGCAACGTTTCATATCATCATTGAACAGAGTATAGAATGGCAGTCAACTCAACTCCACCTCAACTTTATCGACTTCGAGGAGGCCTTTGACAGCGTCGACCGAGAGGTAATTTGGAAACTGCTTCAATACTACGGAATACCACAAACATTTATCAGCCTCATTCAACAACTATGTGAAGATGCCACATGCCGAATGATTCACAATGGGAAGCTCAGTGATGCTTTTGAAGTGAAGACAGGAGTGAAACAAGGTTGCCTAGTATCCCCCATGATATTCCTGATTGTACTGGACTGGATCATGCAGCAAACAGTGGGGAGCGAGAAGAGGGGGATACGCTGGCTGGACTGTGGAAAAGAACCTAGAAGATCTGGATTTCGCTGATGACTTGTGTCTGATGTCACACAAACTCAAAGATCTACACGCGAAAACTAACAAGATGGCAGAAGAGGTGAGATAGCGAAGACGGGACTTCAACAACTCCAACAACAACAACAAACTCCAATCACCATCAACGGAAGAAACTTAAAAGAAGTAACCTTCTTCACCTATCTAGGAAGCACTGTTTACAACTACAGGCGGCACAGACGAGGATGTCAAAGCCAGAATCTGAAAAGCAAGACAGGCGTTGATTAACCTGAAACCAGTGTGGAGATCTTCTGCACTCAGCATGCGAAACAAGATCCGGATTTTCAACACCAATTCACTCAAGTCATTGCTTCTATGTGATGGTTGACAGACTTGGCACGTTAGGAAAGGGATTTCCAACAAACTACAGATATTGATCAACAACTACCGCCTACGCTGACTAGATACTGAAGATAGAGATCAGATGGCGAGAATAATAAGAATAAGCAACAAGGAGCTCTGGGAACGAAACAACCAAGAACCTATCACTCAAAAAATATGCAGTGGAAGGAAATGGGTGATGGATTGGATTGGATTGGGCATACACTGAGAAGGTCAACTGTGGACATCACGTACCAGGCCAGTTGCTGGAGTGGCACCCAGATGGGAAATGATGAGTTGGATGTTCAAGTTGAGAGTGACATGGAGGAGATGGTGTGAGGAGGAAATGAGAGCTTGTGGACTGTCGTGGAGCCAGGTTGAAAAGATTGCAGAGAACAGAGTGTAGTGGAGACGTGTTGCTGAATCCGTATGTTCCATTAGGAACCGAAGGGACAAATAATAATAATAATAATAATAATAATAATAATAATAAGTAGAACGTATTATTATTACAGACCTTTCTTTCAAGGTCATTTGAAAATTAGTGTGCAGAAGTCTACCAATAGCACATTTCCTACGCCCACGCGTTATATAAAATTAACCAATCCATGCAAATCTTTTACTACCATTATAACCATTAACTTTGACGTTCTGTTTAAAATTTTCTTAGTATTTAAGAGGTTTGAATTATTCCTGGCAGCTTAAAATATTATCTGTATATTTTTTTTAGTGACTTTTTTAATGATAACAATGTATCCGGTAAACGAATAATTCCTCGTGATGTGGTCTCTCTTGTTACCAATTTCCCTATAACAGGATATACTTTCCATTAACAGATGAAACTCAACGACAAGCTGTACATACGAAAGGATTAGGTCGCCATGGGGTCACCACTTGGACTGCTGCCAGTCGACTGCTTTATTGGCAGACTAAAAGAATAGTGTACTCCACTTAACAATTCATAGTTCTTACCTATATAATGATGATAGTACATTCATGATATATGCTCCAAAAATACAGATTTGGGGACTGTAGTCAAAATATTCTAATTACTGTCATACATCAGTCAACTTCAAGAGAATTCAGAATTTCATTTTTGTCGAGGTCTTATTGAAACGGAGAGGAAAGACTAATTTATAGGAGAGCTATATGGTATGGATAGTGTATGAATTTTCACGAGTGATATTATTAACTATAATTTGGACAAACTACAAAAAATGGATACTTCTCACAAGATCTATTGAGAATCAGCTATCCAGAAAGTTGGAGAAGATCTTCTTTTCTGTGAAACTGCAGACTAGTTTCTCTATTCGGCAATTGGTTCCATAGCACGTTAAGGAAAAGTTGCTGCTTTGGACCACCTCAGTGTATGTCTACAAATTTACTTACTTCTGTGGAGCTAATTATATTGGCAGCAAAAATCGCTCGCTTTCCAACTGTATCTGTGAACACTATCCTGCATGGTTGTCAAGGTGAGAATGTAAAGTAGTTAACAGTTCAATTTTTGAACATTTGCTCATCTCTCGGTATATACCTTTCTTTATCCACTACAGTCCTCCTTCATTATCATTACAGAGTCAAGAGAAATAGTTCGGAAGCAGTACGCTTTCGATAATTAAGCACAGAACCAGTATTGACAATTTACGGATTCCAACCTAATGTTTACGTGCAGAAGCTCCATCTTTATATCTATCAAGTGGATACTCATAACCATTGGATGTCAAATGTACTAATAACTTTTACCTTGTAAAACTCATTACCCTTTTCTTATCTCCATTGTCTAGGAGATTATTGTGCAACCAATTTCCACACTTGATTTCAGTTTTTAGCACTACCTTAATGATGTAATTATATCCTATTGTTTAATAACAGACTGTTATACGTTTGTGATATGTAAATAAATACGATTGTGCAGCCTTGGAAACTGATATCTCATCTTTATCACTGGATGAGTATATTACATTGTCTAAACATATCTTCATTCAGCTGCTTGGGTTCTCTAAACAACTCAGAATTTTCAGATATTTTAGCTATACATTAGATATTAGTGAAATTAAGAAAAATTTGTGATAGGTCTTGTCAAGTTCAACTCTACCTCATAATGAGAATAAAACTTCAGTTTTGTTATTTGTTATGAAGAATAAAACTGAATCCTAGAATATCTTACTTGAAATTGATTGGCTGAAAAAATTTACCTTCATCCTACCTGTGATTGGCTATCTGTTATCTGAAGGTCATTTGACCTTAGTTAGATATTTATTTACGTGAATGACAGATTTCGTTTCATTGCATTGGATACTCACCAACTGACTGCATTCAATTAAATTTATCATGTCTTCAACTCCCCAAGATAGGATACAATTTCGTGAAACTTGATGAGTCAATATTTACGACCACAGCCTTCCCGCTGTAGGTTGCTACAAATCTTATTTACTAAGATTACAAACCGATCTTAGGCAATAACTATACAAACAAACAATGAAAGACGGCTGCGATAACTAGAAGTGTAATTTAGGCAGGGTAAATATATCGATTCATTCATATTGCTTCACGAATGATAAATTCTTGGTCAAGGTTAGGTACTACTCATAAGAATGCATGTAAGTAGTGTGTAGAACATCGTCGAGAAATACAAAAAGAGCTAACAGTCAGCTAGTGAAGATTCTAGAGGGAAGAGGACAAAACAACGAGTGAGGTATTTAAAGGATACTATACACTGAGATGCTGAAGTGGGAGAATGTTGGCAAACGTGGCTTCGTGGTGATATTTTTATGATGAGTGAACATTCTCTACTGTTCTTTTGGTCTTATCTTGATTGGTAGCGCTGCCTACTTTCCAAATGAAGGTAACTTAATCCACAGCACTCGACGATGTGTATATCAGGATGTTTCTGGATGACTTCGAAGGGGTTGGTTGGGGTAAAGGAGCACATGGAGAAGCTGACTATATGAAACAGCCTCGTGAGAGGCCATCCACAAAGCATCATGTAGAGATTTGGAGGATATCTAAAAGGAAGGATATGCTGATGTGTTACATTCTTGAGCTGACCCAGTCGTCAATTTGTTATAACCTTTTCTGGTTGTTATTGTCTGATTCACTTGATTCCGCCCACTCATTCATAGCGCTGACCTTGAACGTGATTGGTCTAGAATATGCATCCCCAGTCTTGTATCTTTCATACACCCACATAATGAGTCAAGCAACTCGCCTGTCTCAACAGCCCACAACAGAATACAGTTTTCTGCATATTGTCCGTGTGCATATTTTAGGCGATCTGATTCATCTGTATATACAAAACTAAATTACTTGACCACGAAACACCATAATTTATAAAGATGAAACAACCAATTTCAAGGACAAAATACCAGACAATCCACAATGATTGACTTTGCTCAGAATGCAATTATTTCCGAAATGCATGTCATACACAAATGGATGAGGAGTCAATCGAAAGCTGTTGAGCCAAACCATACAATAATGCTACCAGTTAAGTTACAAGTAGGATGAATTTTTAAAAAATAAACAAGATAATAGAACCAGTGATACTAACCTGAGATTCAGATTTTCCACTTTTCGTGTGATATAACAAACTGACCATGGTGGTCAAGTTCGACAGTCCAGTGGACAAAACTCAAACCTTGCGAGTTTATGCTAGCCAGGATGAACTTCCTCTGCGGCTAGCGATGAAACTCACGAATCTTCCATGCTGTCCACTAGTCAGTGTGGATGGAAAGTCTTAAGCACAATGAAGTAGGAATGAGGTCAGGGAGTTTGCCGATTGGAAATTGACAATCAGTCACGGTAAAAATATTAAATTGTACAATAGGGTCGAATTCGCAGAAATTCTTCTTGTTCAACATCTCAGAGTGTATATAATGTTATTTTCTTTCATATTTCTACGGCATATTGCGTCTTCCCACCATCACTAAACCCTTGAGCATCGCAAGTCATCATCAATTGAGTATTATCACATTTTGTGTTTCTCGACTTCGCTCTATATACTACTAATATGCACCTGTTATAAGCACTTACTACTACACTATACATAATGATATCAATAATAGTATGAAACAATCAATTATATTACCCACGTGTATTCATAAGTTGCATCAGCTGGTGCATTCGACTTTTCATAGAAGCATCCTAATTGAACAGGCTGATTTTCAATAAGTACACCTGTGGTCTCAGTGGAAGAATTGACCATATCCAGGAGTGAGTAAATTTTCACATACACATTGGTAATATCTAGAATAGATTGAATGTGATCACCGATTTCATTATGAACATACATCAGTAAGTTAAAGAGATAGTGAAAACTGAAAATGACTTACCGGTTATTACTTTCTATGCACCAGTGTGATGATTCAACTTCAAACGGTAACAAGAATAGAAACAGGAGTCAAACCAGCAAACTACAGATTCTCGTAGTGTCTAATCAACCAGTTGCCTCTCTCCTTCAAATTCAGACTGATTTAGACTCGTCTGAGAAAGCTTTTCTGTGGCCAGTATAGTGTAGATGAGTGAATAGTTACGCATCACTCACACCTTAGAGATTGAAGCGAAATCAAGACCTGGTCAGCAGTTGAATGTTGTGTTCCATCTGGTAGAGCATGCGAGCAAATTACTTGTACGCTTTCGATTCGAATTTTGTCCTTATCCAGCTTTTTGTCCAAACGATAATCACCACTCCGCTACACAAGGACCAGTCTGACAGAACAAGGCTACCATAGGCGGTCCCTTCTACAGTTCCATCTCAACTTTCCTTATATGCCAATTTGTAGCTGGAAATCCAGGGCAGTGAACCATCATCATGAAGGCATTGCCGTTAGGTTACTAACTGACGTTTTGACGTTTAAATAGTTTGTAAGCCACGGCAGCTAGTCAATATTTTCGCCAATCAATGACTGACTTCAGTTTCAGTTTGGTCCAAACATCTCAACAGTAAAACCCAGAGTACATGTTTCAGCCTATTTAGTAAATGTCAGCTGGATTTCGGCGTGTTAGTATTCCCCCTGAAACTCGGTTCTATCAATCATCGTTTCAAACTCTAGAACATTACTCACCAAGCTTTTCAGCTTAAAGATGTGTACTTTCTTTCAGCGGTGATCACTTCGTTGTTGGAATATTGTTATGCAAGTGGTTCTGACTGATGAATCTTGAACAGAACGAAGAGTACATTCTGGACTCCGCCACCAGTCATTACCGAATATCTACTCTGTGTAATGAATATTGAAATGATCTACCATACCTAACAAGCAGTTATAACCAAGTCGTTTTGGTTGTAGGCCAAGTTATATCATTGGTACAGGTATCTAGACTTCAAGACATCTCATCCAATGTCAATTTAGGCAGGTTTGGTCAGATGTCTAAATGATAGAGCTAGAAAACTGACTAATGAGTGGTAGGACTTAAACATAGAACTGCAGCACAGAAAAGAAGCACTAATAGTTGATAATCATCCTCTACAGTTTATTAAGAAATCCGTTTGAACACATAAGAGACGAAATCATAATGACAACACGAGTAGAAAGGAGTTCGCAGCCTCCATTGTGTTACCATTCATAAGTCAGGAACATCAGAAACTTTATGTCGGATCCTCAACAAGGTTGGAATTAGGGTGGCATTTAAACTTACGAACTCACTCACAGGCTTTGTCGGCTGTGTCTGATCCAATAGGACCAATTAGTCAAAACAATCTGATTTATTGATTCCCATGTAGGGGATGAGAGGTGAGAGGTCAGACTAGCTGGTTGGGGTCAGTTAGATTAGTGGAATATAGGGATTTGGCTAAATGTAGAATAATAGACCGGAATATGATCAGTTATCTGAGTAGAAAAACTCGGCTATTACAATGTTTGCATTAACACAAAATCTCATAATATGTTGGGTGGGTTAAAACCAATGTAATTGAGTCCAATATAATTAGGTAGGTAGGTATTTATGTAGATTGTTGAACCTGTGTTCAACGAATCGACACCCAACGCATGTAGTAGGGATTACTTAACAGCACAGATATGAAAAACTTTACTACCAATAAAAATGAAGGATATTAGGTGACAGGGCTATAATAATCAAATGTAGAAAGTGGTGTGATTACGCTGATGTGATTATGAACGGCAATAATTTATGCTTGAAACGTCATCCAGTGAGTAGTATTATATCACTGTGTTATAAATCAAGTAAACCGTCCTAATATGAAATCGTTCCTTTGAACATACTAATCACAATTAGCGTTTCTCTGCGTCTGCGTCTAACAACTCCAGTCCTAGGGAACATTTATTTGGAATTCCAGCTATGGCATTAAGCGAATGGTGCAAACAAGTTTGTATGGATTTCAAGTTGGAATTCAGCATGGACTGATATCAACTGGAGAAACATTTATAACTTGGGGGCATTAGATGGCTGTTTCCTCCTAGTTGGAGGCTCCTCAGCCACCAGGGACCGAACTGAAGTTTCCACTGGGCCACCGTGTCGGAATCCAATGGTCTACATTTCCAACTTCTGTGAGTTTATATGAAATGTAATATCATGAAACTTCGTCACATGGTCACTGGCAACGGGGGAAATTTCGATTTTGTAAAATCTAGCTACCAGAATACAGTTCAGTGAGATTGTATCCACGTGCCTTTAAACTACATGTTGTTGGGACTAGCTCCAGTTAAATCATCCTGTTTTTCCTAAAGAACATAATTTCCTGCCCCTTATTTATCAGTCTAGGCTACAAAATTTCAGTGAGGCAAACAAAGACACCATGTTGGATCTAGGAAGATGCATAAAACGAAATCGATTCAAATCAGTAAGTTCGAGAAAAACAGCTATTCAGTACGATAGATTTCAACTAATTCGATGAATCAGGTAGGTTCAAACTGATTGGTACAAATTATGACGACAAACAAAACCAACCAATAGGAATAAGACAATTCAAAAACCAGTTAGAATCGAATTCTTTTCTACCAATCAGATTCGAGACAGATGAACGAAGTTAACTTTTTGTGAAATCGAGCATTTATGACCGTTCATTTTCTTATGATTCCACCAATAAATGTGTCTGATTCAGTCCTATAGAAAGTCAGTCATGGCTTGAATAGCACAGTGACAACATCGCTGACTGCATCGCTGGGTGGCAGAGATTTGAGTCTCACAGAGAACATCAGCTCCCACAAGTGCCAACGAGCAAGAAACTTGATTCAAAACCATCCTGGTGATTGCATCCAGCCAACTGACGTCCTAACAGTATTTTGACGGTAATAACTGTCTGTCTGAGTCTTTTAGTTAGGTAGTCTAGAGGCAGCTGACTGGAACCCCGTCACAATTCAGGTTTTCATTTCACTTTCAATCATCACTATGTATCAATAATATCAGTCTGGCAAATCAGATAGTTTCAAAAACAATCAGTTGATAATTGTGTTCAAGGTCATCTGGTTAATCAATAAACCATTCTGTGTTGATAATTTAAAGGTCAATCATATCCTGTTGTTGGCTAATGTTTTGTTACCAACGGGTGTGTTTTTAGAGAGGTGGAAAACATCAACTGTTAATAAAGCCCATACATTGATATTCACAAAATTCTTTATTACAATCACCAAAACTTACACATAAGATTGATAGTTATTGACTGAAATACTGGCGGTTGAGATATCTGCTGATAGTTGGTAGTAGAAATAGTCTGGTTGGTATTTGGGTTATCTGAAGCATTGATACCCTTAGCCATGTAATCATTTAGATTATCTAATGAGCACATAACTGGAATGCTGTCAGCTTCAGTTCCATGAAAAGTAAGATTTAAGATGGACCAACTTCTAAGCCTGAAATTGAAGAGGGTTGTAGAATACACAGAAGATGAATGAAAGTGAATTTTAAAAAAAGGTAGCATCATCATAGTTGCCTACAGCTGACAGTGATTGTCTGATGCTGAATGGTCTCATAAGAATAGGCCTAGAGCCGGTAGATGGTTTGATAGGATTTAGTAGTTGGACAACTCAGAAACTATGACGTTTCAACATACCTCACTATCTTCAAGCTTTGAATAACCCTAACACAACTGATCTCTCTTTGTAGTGATTTTTTTCTCCATAAAGTGACTAAGCTTACGGTTTTTTGATGTGACAGACTCACGACTTGAGTCGATAGAAGTTGGACATCGGTCGGTAACTTTCGAGGGTCTTAAGAATTGATTACAGCATGACTGATAAGTTAGAAAACCTAAATAACGAAATGGAACGCATCAGAGAGATACTACTTCTTAAATATCATCATCAATATCAACATAGGACCAAGCATTACTGAGTAACGGTCCGAGTTGCCACACCTCATATCACTACATCAAGTAGAAAGGTAGTGAGGTGAAGGATGAAGATAAGTGAATGCAGTCAAAGGAAATATAAAGTACGAGAAGAAAGGAAAGAGGAGTGACAAAATGGTGAGATTCGGTATAGTGTAGTTAAGATGAGGATAATGTATGTATACATCTGCCCCCACTGACATCGGTTCTCAGCCGTGCCATCACTTAGAGTCTCCAACCACTGGTTCTCTTATCTCGCGCACCCCAACCGGCTGGTTTACATCGCCCCATATGGCCTAAACCAACAGTCAGAGACTTCATACATTGGCGCCATGTTCTAGTCTGGCCACCTCGAGCCTTTTTCCAGCCTGAACCTACTTCGGTCAACATTGTGTGATGAGGCAATCGGTGACTAGGCATACATATTACGTATCCCAACTATCTCAGCCGATGAAGGTTAACAACCGTATCAATCGACTTACCTCTTCTCCCTAAAACTCTACACCTGACTTCTGCATTACCCACGTGGTGACACCATGGAATACGGCCTAAAGCAACTGTGGTCGAACACCTGAAGCCAGCCGTCTCATGTCTTCCACCTTTAATGGCCATATTTCATAGCCAAGCAGCAGAACAGGCCTGACTGCTGTGCAGTATGCGCGACCCTTAATAGCTAAACGGATATCACGGCGGCACCATAGGTGGAGTAAATTGGCAAAAGCCATCAAAACCTTTTGTATCTGTGCAGAGATTTTATCGGTCACTAAGCCACCAGGACTGATCCCGATTCCCAGGTAAGTGAAGTCGTAGATACAGTCAACCACTTCACTCTTTATTGTTAACCGTGGCAACGTTGAAGACCAATTCTAGAGCAACAGTTTGCATTTGGGTGATGAGAACCGCATCCTAAACGTTCTCAGGTTCCCACTCAAAGTGTTCAGAAGACCCTGCATCCTGTCAGCATCTTCACTTAACAGTACTATATCGTCTGCTTATTCTAGGTCAAATGGGATTTCTCCTGCCATTAGGTCAACCTCTGTGTAGTCAGGTGACGACAGCGAGACCTCCTTGAGAATATCCATGATAAAACAATAAGAATGGAGATAGTGGGCATCCTTGACGGATACCACTCGATGAGTATAGCTCACCTGGCATCTCTCCATAGGCTCTAACACGCCCTCAAGTGTTCGAGTAGAGAGCCTTCAATAGGGTGATGTACTTACTTGGCACGCCTTTCAGTGAGGGACATTGCCATAAGACTTCTCGATCAATGGAGTCAAATGCCGCCTTCAGGTCGAGAAGTACAGCTAGTGTCGGGTGAAGATAAGCGTGTCTATATTCCAGAACCTGGTGTAGTGTGAATATTTGGTCGATACACTTCTTAAATAACTACTCTCCAGAACTGATTAGAACGTTTATCATGACTTATAAGGGAAGGAGTGATAATAATACCAGTGGTAGTTGTAACGTGCTCAAGAGAGAATTCAAACCCTGCATAGTGTTGCCGTTTAAAGAAGGTACAAAGTAAACTTAACGCAGAATTCTTAACAATGCTGTCTGGGATTAGGGTGGCATGTTAAACCCACAAACTTGCTCAGACAGAAACTTTGTAGGCTAAAGGATCCATTAAAGCCAATTAAGCAAACTAAACTAATCCATCAACTACCATACAATAATTCTGAGGTCAGAGCAGTCGATCTGGGTCAGTCCAAAAAGCAGAAGACAAAAATTTAGCGAAGCACACAAAGGTTAGACGTTACAGAGATAAGCAGTTCAGAGAATGATATGGGGATAGAGAGAAATGACTAGTCTGGAAATGGACCAATCAAATGTAGGTTATGTTATCACGTCTATGGTTAGACAGACAGGTAGATGATAGATCAGCCAATCAATAGGATTATTTTAAACAGCGAATTATCTACATATCTACATGTTCTCCATTCTTCTGGTCTTCAGTTTTCCGACCCCAATACACTTTACTAGACGTCCATCGTGTCTCCTCCATGAAGTAGTCTGGTTGGGAGTCGACTAGTAATTTGTTGAATGTTTTTAACTGACAGTCGATATCCGTGCATCGTTAGCGGCCATAGTCAAAGCAGTTTCCGAATCATAACACTGAAAAAGTAGGCTATCTCTCTCGCACTGTAGGGTGGATGGAATTTATTACTTTATACTATTATTATTATTATTATTTGTCCCTTCGGTTCCTCAAGGAACAAACGGATTCAGTAACACGTCTCCATTACACTCTCTTCTCCACAATCTTTTCAACCTGGTTCCATGACAGCCCACAACCTATCATTTCCTCCTCACACCATCTCCTCCATGTCACCCTCACCTCGGACATCCAACTAATCATTTCCCATCTGAGTTACACTCGAGCAACTGGCCTGGCACGTGATGTCCCCAGTCACTCTTCTCAGTGTATGCTCAATCCAATCCAATCCATCTCCATTTCCTTCCACTACATATTCGTTCAGCAATAGCTTCCTGCTTCGTTGCTTCGTCACCAGTCAGTCAGAGTTCCTTATTGCTTATTCTTATTATTCTCGCCATCTGATATCCATCTTCACTATCGAGTCAGCATAGGCGGTAGTTGTTGATGAATACCTGTAATTTGTTGGAAATGCCTTTCGTAACGTGCCGAGTCTCTCAAGCATCACATAGAAGCAATGACTTGAGTGAATTGGTGTTGAAAGTCTAGATGTTGTTCAGGCTGTGTGCTGAGTGCAGTGAAGCAGATCTCCACACTGGTTTCAGGTTAATGAAGACCTACCTGTCTTGCTGTCATTCCAATCCTGGATGGCTTTAACGTCCTCGTCTGTGCCTGTGCCACCACCTATAGTTGAGACAGTGCTGCCTAGGTGTGTAGGTGAAAGAGGCTACTTCCTTCAAGTTTCTCCCACTGATGGTGATTGGAGCTTGTTGTTGTTGTTGTTGGTGGTGGTGGTGTTGGTTGAGTATCTTCATCACCTCCGTCTTCCACACGTTCACTTGAAGTTCCGTCTTCCTTCTCTGCCCTGTATCTTCTGTCCACGTGTTAGTTTTTGCCTGTAGATCTTCGAGTTTGTGTGACATTAGACACAAGTCATCGGTGTAATACAAATCTTCGAGGATCTTCTCCACAGTCCAGCCAGCCTATCCCCTCTTCTCACTCCTCACTGTTTGTTGCATGACCCAGTTCAGTGGACCGCGATCACGAATATCATGGGTGATAGTATGTGGGAGCCTTGTTTTACTCCTGTCTTCACTTCACTTCAAAAGCATCACTGGGCTTCCCATTATGAATTACTTGGCATGTGGCGTCTTCATATGGTTGTTGAATGAGATTGATAAAGGTTTGTGGTATTCCGTAGCATTGAAGCAGTATCCAAATTACTTCTCGGTCGACGCTGTCAAAGACCTTGTCAAAGTCGATGAAGTTGAGGTTGAGGGTTGACTGCCATTCTATACTCTGTTGTATGATGATGCGTAGTGTAGCGTTGCAAATTGGTCCGCATATGATTTGTACTTCCTGAATCCAGCCAGCCTGTTCGGGTCTCTCCTTTAGTCTCTCCGGGATGATCCGGCTTGATATTTCGCTTGGGGTGGACATTCCATGTCCCCACGTTTACTTTCGCTTTCATCGAGGGAGAGAAGACACATCGATCAATTGGCTTCCCGAAAGCTTTCACCAACCACCGTCATTTAGCCTCTCCAATTCCTGCGAGGAATAATTTTTGTTTTTCTCTTTTACATTTTGTTTGTGATTTGAAGTTTCGTTGGCGGTTTGATTGGTTTTCCGGGGTAGGGTTGCTAGCCGTATGCTCAACCTTCCCTTTTTACCCGAGCATAGGACCGGCTAGTAACTAGTGAGCTAGTTAACCATGTGAGGTTATCGACAGATATAGTGGCAAAGAATCAGTTACTCTTTATCATGGATAGGTGACGGACTTAGACGTAACGTAACAACGTGGTGTCGGTGATGGTAGATGTCTTGTCTTTAAGTCTCAGCACTGACAGAAGTCCTCATAGGCCCAACGGATAGCTGCTACTTTGATATGGTGATCAGGCTTCCACATAACAATGACCCAACCAGCTACACTTCTGCGACGCTTATTCCCTCGACATCCTACCATACCACAAAAGTCTGTTGGACAGTAGTAGAATTATGAGCAGTTATCGTGGTAGTGTAAACTACTACACTGTGATGGGAGTCTGGGGCAAAGTCCTACTGCTGATTGGATAGGGTATGACAGTAATAAATTGTTTTTCTTGCGAACTAACTATATCTCATACAACATTTGAATCACAATAGGAGTGTAGAATAAATTTTCATTTTCGACAACAGTTTCCTGTATACATGTACTGCAAAGTTATTCATTCGTTCCACAGCACTTTAAAGTCAACAAGAAATTCTGATGGATATACTGTCTAGAACATTATATATACAATATACGCATACACATAGTAAGGAGCAGGACAGATAAAATAATGATGATAAGCAATATTGAATGTGTAACTCAGAACATATATCCAAAGTCCAGTCTTCAGTTGTAGACAATGGATAAACATGAAATTCTTATACAATCATTTTTGATTATTATAAACAAATGGATTTAATCTTGAACTTACAAATGAAAATCAGATGTTATATAAGCAAGTTGAATAAATTCATTTGATTGACCTATACACAATGGATTATTTAAAATGATTGATTTTTGTGTTATATTCATTATATGACATTGATAATTCAATTGACAATATATTATATTTAACCAATTGAATAATTCATGTTTCATATTTTCATTTAATTGATTAAAAATTGATTTTTCTTTTAAATATGAAGATGATGTATATTTCATAGATGAATAATCTTTATTATTGAATAAAATATTCTTTTTATTCACTGACCAAATTAATTTTCCTAATGGTTTACTCATTACTGTTGTACTACAAATCAATACAATTGATTGATTTAAAGATAACCATATTGATTGATTATTTGTATTGATCATTGTCAATGGAATAGACTTAAAATGATTCAATTGATCTTTATTATTGATTGAATATTGAAATATTGAATTTCTATATGATAATATACTCAAATTTATTGATTTTGGTGGAACTGAAAATAACCAATAAAAGAAAAATTGCTAGAAAGATAAATAATATTACTATTGATATATTGATATATATACATGTAATTAATTCTAGGTTGTTTTATTCGATTGAATTGTTCGACGTCTGTTAGTATATGGGCTCGTATGCTGAGGCTTCGATACTGTCTGAACGTTAATTTGGTTGGTCTTGCCTGGTAGACGAATCCAAGACGTGTGTTTCGCCGTATACGGGACCCGTCAGCTGGACACATCTGCATTACAGTGCGGAGTGATGTTGTTCCCACTGAGACTCGTATCTATCGCTTCAAACGCCAAGGCATTACCCATTATGCCACAGAGACACAATAGTTACTTCTTGTACAACGGGTATTGTTTATGACTATTTGTGGATATACTTGTAATTCTCCGTTATTTTTATTACATCGAATTGTTTGACTTCCATATATGTATTACTTAAAAGTATAAAATAATTGATTATAGTTTGTAATTATCACAAAGATCGTCTGTTATTCATCCTAGTAACAGATGGATCTCAACTGAAAGTGTTCTCCATCCTTGGTTAGATACACCTGTACTCATGACACTGCTCTCTCTCTCTCTCTCGCTCAGAAATTACAATAACTATCTCCTGTTTCTCGGCAACGAATCAACCAAGAATCTATCGCTCAACAAATATGCAGTGGAAAGAAGTGGAGATGGATTGAGCATACACTGAGAAGGCCAACTGTGGACATCACGTGCCAGACCAAGCACTCGAGTGGAACCCAGATGGGAAATGATTAGTTGGGTGTCCGAGGTGAGGGTGACATGGAGGAGATGGTGTGAGGAGGAGATGAGAGCTTGTGGGCTGTCATGGAACCAGGTTGAAAAGATTGTGGAGAAGAGAGTGTAATGGAGACGTGCTACTGAAGCGGTATGCTCCTTGAGGAACCCATGGACAAATAATAATAATGTACCACATAAACTACCTGCTACTGAGATTTTCTAATTTTACCAGTCTTAAAATCCTCAATTAAGTCGTAGAAATACAAAAGACGTTTAGCGATATCATCCTGAATCTATACACTTGCATATAACTATTCAATTCACATAGGGTAATAGAAAAGGAATGTTTTGTAAAATATTTTTGAAACGAAGTTCATCATGGACTGACATCATTTGTAGGAACATTAGAAACCTAAAGGCACTGGACAGCTGTTCCATTCCAGTATGACATTCCTCACTAGTACGCAACTATGACCCCCACCCTGCCAGGGATCGAACTCAGGACCTTCAGGTTCCGTGGTCAGCACGTTACCATTGAGCTATTGGGTTGGAATCCAACGGTAAGGTGCTGACTACGGATTCTGAAGGTCCTGAGTTCGATCCCTGGCAGGGTGGGGGTCATAGGCGTGCACTAGTGAGGAACCCCATACTAGGACGGAACAGCTGTCCAGTGCCTTTAGGCTGCCAATATTTCTCCAACTGATGGAGAATTCCAACCTCAAATCAATTAATAAATAGAATCACGTAATGTTTAAAATAGTAATGAGAAGAAGGAAAACTTCTCAGGATGGAACTAATATTCAGTTACTAAGTTAAATGATGTAACAGGGTGAATGTAAAGGGAAATGAGAATTCTTCGAATGGAGGAATGTAATACGTATGAAGATCGGAATGAAAAGATTTTTATAGATAAAAATGTTCTTATAGATTATGTCGATTGGAACTAAAGTGACTGGACAAACTTCTTTCGAAAACGCAGAGTTCAGACTTCAAAATATTAATTGGCATGGCTTTCGTAGTTTGAAGAAGTTTTAATAAATAAATAATCAATAATGCATTTTTGGAGATGAGTGAAGACTCTTAATTTAGAGGTAGCATTCATCATGGACTGATATCACTTGGGGAACTATTGGGGACCTGTGAGCACTGGACAGCTCTCTCGTCATAGTACGGGACTCTTCAGCAGTGCGCGCCCACGACCCGGCTAGGGATCGAACTCAAGACCTTCAGGTTCCACGGCGAACGCGTTAACCATTCAACCACTGGATCAATTTCCAGTGATTCACAATCTCCAAGTTCTGTCAGTTCACGACATAGGGCGACTATCATCCAAGGTATTCAGTTACCATCCGCTTCATTTCCGACCGGCTGACCCCATAGGTCACGGCTTCTCATCCAGTGCTCCCAGATTTTCAATGGTTCCTTGACTGATATCAGTCCATGATGAATACTAGCTCTAAATAATCAATACTTTAAACCATTCAGGCTGATGTAACTCTCTAAGTAAATGAACTGGTCGACACATTCAAACACTTTACTCCTTGTCCTTAGACTGGAACTAGTTGTTAGACTAGTTTTGTAGCATCATCTTACATTTGACGACTGCGAAACTCATGCCAGCCAAACATACTCAAAGCGTTCAGAAGACTCTGAATTTCGTCAGCGTATTTACCTAGCAGGACAATATTGTCTACTTACTCTAAGTCAACCACATGGCCTTCAGAGAGTAGATGAATCTCGATGTCCAATAATACGTCCATTATGAAGTTAAACAGAAACGGTGTTAGTGAGTAACCCTGGAGGATATCACTAATTGTCACCGATTCATATGACACCTCTCTATAAGCCCTTCCTTACACGATTGTGTATGTTCCAGTAGAGAGCTTTGAAAAGAGTTCTATGCTTGCTCGATACTCCTCGGTACTTCATAGTCAGACGGTGCTACAACACCTCACAGTCAGTAGAGATAAATGCTGCCTGATCTTCTCAAGTTCTTTGTTGTCGAGATTCGGATAACTATAGACCCGAGATTCTTGGATACAATGTTAGTCAAACTGACTCCCTAATGGTTGTCACAAGAAAATTTCTATGTTCTTATGCCTTGGATTGAAAAGTGAAGTAGATCAGATGAGACTATCTCTAATTCTCACACACTACCTAGTACCTCCGTCACTTTAATTAGAGATTTCTTGCGTCCATACTTAAAAACTTCTGGCGGAAAACCGTCATTTCCTGCTGCTTTGCATCGATACAGCCTTCTCACGATCGAAGGCAGTTGAAAGACCAATATGTATGTCCCGTTTAGGTTCAGGATGGATGTTGTTTAAGTGGAGGGTGGGTGTGGGACACTTTAACTAGACTTTAAAGTGTTCTCTCCAAAGTTTTAGCACCCTGTCGTGAGAGGTTATCAGCGATCCATCTTCTTCGGTGATCGTTTCGATAACTATCCTCTTTTTATTGCCGGTATCTTTAATAAAGCCAAATAGTTGCCAAGTATCACTCAGCGCTGATGGATTCTCCTTCCTAGTTCCTACGGTCCAATTAAGTCGAACACCACATGGACAGCTGTTGACTGGTACCCAATTGACAAGCCCACTTCTCTTCTACAACTCACTACTATGCCTACACCAGGAAACCAACGAGAGCTAGCCACTGAGTCTCCAGATACTCTTCAGGTGAATTCTCAAGATTCACTACTATGCTCAGGTGAAGTCAATTCAGTAAGCACACTCGGGTTCTGTATACGTGTCTCAGAGACAGCATACATTCATGACTACCGAGTCAAGAGTTCTGGCAGGAGATGCTTGTTCTCCGAGTAGACATGGAGTTAGAGACGTTGAAACCTCCTACATGAAATCGATGATGGGGTCTTAGAGGACTAGGATTGAGGTTTTGATGCCTTTGATGGTTGGCAAAAATAGCAGACTGAGATGTTGGGGAAGATGTAAGTGTCTTAATATTGGTTTCAGGAGATGAAGGCAATGCAGGAGACAGAGTTGAGGAGGATGTGTTGTTTTTGATTAGGTCTTGTGTGCTGCTGGAAGTGTGTGTGTGTGTGTGTGGAGGGGCGGGGGATGGTTGACACTTCCTGGTTGCCCAAACTCTGGAAGACCATTTTTTGAGGTACTTGATGTTTGCGACCACAGAAATCATGAGACATCTACTTGGGGCCTGTTACATGCAGTTTTGAGGACTGTTGTTTTGAAGTGTGGTTATTCTTACGCTGTAGATAGAAGAAACCCACAAGGCTGGCTGCGAAACACCGTGGGGAAAAGGAGTGTTATTGTTGGGGTCGACATCTTCTAACCTCCCTTCACGTAGGGAAGGCAGCATCAGCGTGATACTGCTGGTCATCCAAGGGAAACAATTTATTACTGCCATACCCTATCCAATCAGCAGTAGGACTTTGTCGCAGACTCCCATCACAGTGTAGTAGTTTACACTACCACGATAACTGCTCATAATTCTACTACTGTCCAACAGACTTTTGTGGTATGGTAGGATGTCGAGGGAATAAGCGTCGCAGAAGTGTAGCTGGTTGGGTCATTGTTATGTGGAAGCCTGATCACCATATCAAAGTAGCAGCTATCCATTGGGCCTATGAGGACTTCTGTCAGTGCTGAGACCTAAAGACAAGACATCTACCATCACCGACACCACGTTGTTACGTTACGTCTAAGTCCGTCACCTATCCATGATAAAGAGTAGTTGATTCTTTGCCACTATATCTGTTGATAACCTCACATGGTTAACTAGCTCACTAGTTACTAGCCGTCCTATGCTCGGGTAAAAAGGGAAGGTTGGGCATACGGCTAGCAACCCTACCCCGGAAAACCAATCAAACCGCAAACGAAACTTCAAAGCACAAACAAAATGTAAAAGAGAAAAACAAAATTATTCCTCGCAGGAATTGGAGAGGCTAAATGACGGTGGTTGGTGAAAGCTTTCGGAAGCCAATTGATCGATGTGTCTTCTCTCCCTCGATGAAAGCAAAAGTAAACGTGAGGATTGAGAATGTCCACCCCAAGCAAAATATCAAGCCGGATCATCCCGGAGAGACTAAAGGAAAGACCCGAACAGGCTGGCTTCAGGAAGTACAAATCATGTACGGACCAAATTGCAACGCTTTGCATCATCATACAACAGAGTATAGAATGGCAGTCAACCCTCAACCTCAACTTCATCGACTTTGAAAAGGCCTTTGACAACGTCGACCGACATGTAATTTGGCAGCTGCTCCAACACTAGGGAATACCACAAACCTTTATCAATCTCATTCAACAACCATATGAAGACGCCACATGCCAAGTAATTCATAATGGGAAGCCCAGTGATGCTTTTGAAGTGAAGTGAAGACAGGAGTAAAACAAGGCTCCCACATACTATCACCCATGATATTCGTGATCGCGGTCCACTGAAATGGATCATGCAACAAACAGTGAGGAGTGAGAAGAGAGGATAGGCTGGCTGGACTGTGGAGAAGATCCTCGAAGATTTGTATTACACCGATGACTTGTGTCCAATGTCACACAAACTCGAAGATCTACAGGCAAAAACTAACAAGTTGACAGAAGAGGAAGGGCAGCTAAGGAAGACGGAACTTCAAGTGAACGTGTGGAAGACGGAGGTGATGAAGATACCCAACCAACACCACCACCGTCACCACCACCACCACCACCACCACCGCCACCACCACCACCACCAACAACAACAACAACAACAACAACGAGAAGCTCCAACCACCATCAATGGGAGAAACTTGAAGGAAGTAGCCTCCTTCACCTACACACCTAGTCAGCACTGTCGCAACTACAGAAGGCGACACAGGCGAGGACGTTAAAGCCATCCAGGATTGAAATGACAGCAAGACAGGTAGGTCTTCATTAACCTGAAACCAGTGTGGAGATCTGCTTCACTACACTCAGCACACAGCCTGAACAACATCCAGATTTGCAACACCAATTCACTCAAGTCATTGCTTCTATGTGATGCTTGAGAGACTCGGCACGTTACGAAAGGCATTTCCAACAAACTACAGATATTCATCAACAACTACCGCCTATGCTGACTCGATAGTGAAGATGGATATCAGATGGCGAGAATAATAAGAATAAGTAATAAGGAACTCTGACTGACTGGTGACGAACCAACGAAGCAAGGAGCTATTGCTGAACGAATGGAATCTGATACTGGCGGACATGAGCAGTAGTTCTTATCGAATAACTGATTCACATAAAGATTCGGTTAACTGATAGTTGATGTTTCCTGTTCGAAGTCTCCAAAGATATGAAATTTCACAGTACTTAGCAGTCTGTAAATGCCACGAATCTGCCTTGAACTATAACAGAGATATTTCTTTTCGAGCATATCTATTTCAGGCTAATCGATTTGTAAATTCAGACAACTTCGAAGGAAGTCTTTGCTGTAATTTAAATAAAGACGAGATAGCCGTCCTGTTCTACTGTAAATGGTGTCAACTAGGAATGAAAGCTACTTTGAAGACAATAAAATCCTAGTAACCTGCTTTGAGATGAGATTTCCGAAGTTTCGATGAGAGGCAGTGACCGGTGGGGTCAAGCAGGCTGAACATGGGGACACTTGCTTAACAACGGTAGGAAATATGGACTATTGGTTTCTGACTCAGTAGCTCAATGGTAATGTGCTGCTCAAGAGACCTGAGGGTCCTGAGTTCGGTTTCTGGAGGGAGTTGTGGGTGCGTGCTGCTGAGAAGTCACATAATATGATGAAACAGCTGTTCAGTGCTCTCTGGTTTTCAATGGCTCTCCAATTAACATCGGTCAGTGATGAATACCAACCTTACAAACCCCCTAGATAGAAATATGATCCCCAGCACAAGGCATAAAGGTCATAACTCATGAGATTGAGTAATTAAGGTCATGAATACAACCTCATTTCTGTCTATGTATTTCAAAATCCCCTATGGCTAAATATTCATTATGATCAATATTATCGCCAATGAAAGTAATCTCACACTTTGATGACCTAATCTTGTCTCTCTTTCTGTTTGTTTATGTGTATGTGTGTGTGTGCGTGTGTGAGCATCTATTCAAGGTGAATGTGTGAACTTAGGTCAACTGAATTCCAGTTCATTGTTCAGAAAATAAACAAATTACAGAGGTGGGAAAGGGTTTTTATATATTTCTCTACTTGTCTGCTTATTTACTTATTTATTTACTTCGTGATGAACTTCAGTTTCTCAGAGGAAAACATCACTTACCACTATGCCGAAAAAACTGGTTTGTTTGGTTATTTTGACCTAGTTACCGAGTAAGTGTATATTCCCAAGAGTAAGAATAATCAGTATATCCACTCAGCAGGGGATATGTGTACATTATTGATTCATCATCTCCTAACTAGCTAATGGTTTTATATAAGATGAATTTGATGTGAGGACATATTGTCTTTAGTATACATTCAAGATCAACTAGGGAAACTTAAAGGAAGTAGCCTCCCTCACCTACACACCTAGTCAGCACTGTCTCAACTACAGACGGCGGCACCGATGAGGATGTCAAAGTCAGAATCGGAAAAGCAAGACAGGTAGGTCTTCATTAACCTGAAACCAGTGTGGAGATCTGCTTCACTACACTCAGCACACAGCCTGAACAACATCCAGATTTGCAACACCAATTCACTCAAGTCACTGCTTCTATGTGATGCTTGAGAGAGTTGGCGCATTACCAAAAGGCATTTCCAACAAACTACAGATATTGATCAACAACTGCCACCTATGCTGACTCGATACTGAAGATGGAGATCAGATGGCGAGAATAATGAGAATAAGTAATAAGGAACTCTGACTGACTGGTGACGAAGCAACTAAGGAAGAAGCTATTGTTGAACGAATATGCAGTGGGAAGAAGTGGAGATGGATTGGATTGGCTTGGATTTGGCATACCCTGAGGAGGCCAACTGGGGACATCACGTGCCAGGCCAAGCACTCGAGTGTAACTCAGATGGGAAATGATGAGTTGGGTGTCCGAGGTGAGGGTGACATGGAGGAGATCGTATGAGGAAGAAATGAGGGCTCCTGGTCAGTCGTGGAGCCAGGTTGAAAATATTGTAGAGAAGAGAGTGTAATGGAGACATGCTACTGAATTCGTATGTTCCATTAGGAACCCAAGTGACAAATAATAATAATAATACATTCAAGATGACCAATGATTTTCATCTCAACTCTGTAAAACTCCCATCACTAAAGGGATTTCTGTCACTCAAAGATACAGACTTAGAGAAACGAATGAGATGGAGGAGACAGTGTGCTTGACAGATTTTACACTAAGCTATCCAACGGTTCCCATCTGATCTCTCTTCACGTTCAAATTCCTATCATTATTTCAGTCCCGAGGCTAGTCGGGATTTACTGATTAAAACCTGGTAATGATATCATTTGTAGAACCATCTGAAACCTGATAACACTGAAGATATGTCTCGCCATACTTTGGGACTCCTCAGCAGTGCAAACCGTGACCTCGCCAGGTATAGATCCCGAGGAATTTCAGGTTTTGCAGCGAACACGTTAACATTAACCGCTGGGATGGACCAATTTGAAAGTTAAGACAAATACCCGACAATGCCATTAGATAATGATCACATTATATGCGAACCATTGGATTCTGACCCAGTGGCTGGATGCTTAACATGTTAGCCACGAAACCTGAAGGTCTAAGGATCAGTCCCTGGAGAGGTCATGGGTGCGCATTGCTGAGGAGTCCTAAAATGGGACGAAACAGCTGTTCAGTGTTCTCATGCTTTCAATAGTTCTCCAACTGGCGTCAGTCCATGATGAATATCAACGGGAAATCAATAAATCAATCCACACAAACCTCCTGAGTGAATTTTAAGGTCATCACACGACACTACACAGTAGGAGTCTACTAGTCAGACAGTAAACTCATTTCCACGATAAATGATGAAATTCACTGGAGAAATAGGTCGATAGACAGATAGGTAGCAAAGAGATAGGCGTTATTTGTGAATAAATAATTGAATAACGCAACAATTTCTACCAACTGAATACTTTTCTGACTGAAGTAAACAATACTCAAGGCTGAATTGAAGTCAGTGCGGTTGAATAGTGGATATCTGTGGAACCAAAGACACATGTCTCATCCTATTTGAGGTTCATCAGCTGGATACAAAAGCCTTGTGATTCATGTTATTATTCTTACCGGGACTGAAAGTCAGAACTTATCATCCTAACCATCAGAACGTTATCCGCTAGGTTGTTAAGTTACAGCATGGCATCTCTGAAATCAAACAATTTCATTCTACTACATGTGTCGTGTAAATTTATAGAATGTGAAAATGTTAATACACACACATTTTAAAAAAATCAATTGAATGACTCATTTCTTATGTTAACATCTTACCAATGACATTTAAGTATGCTGTATTACTTTTAATTAAACTCATTGGTAGAGCAAGTGGATTACTCATTGATGAGTCAAGGTCAGAGTTCATTGACTTTTCCTGCCTTTTTGTCTGATTGGTTAACTGCCGAAATACAGCTTTATATAAATCCAACTTTTCTACCAATCTAGCTTGACAGGCGTATTCACCTTCATCTTCATATTGTATATTGGTGATAATTAAATCGTACACATCTGTAAGAGAGAATGAAAAGTGGTAAAAATAAAAATTGAAGGTGGATATTCTGAATAGCTTGATATTAAAGCTCTGAAACTTGATTTGGCATTTATGTTGTTCACTTGTTTAGTGAATCAACTGTAACCTGAACTACTTCAAGAGTGAGTGGATCAGATTAGAATCTTCGAGGAAGCATGTATTTCTTCAAGGTCACAGATGTGGTTGGCATGATGCCTAGATTAATTGAGGCTTACTATCACTTGACTGAAAATGCATAACACCAAAAAACTTATGGTTACTTGGACATTTAAGGTCGCATAGTCTACGGTTTATCCAGAAAACACTTATCTGAACTGTGAGGCATGTGAACAGCCTTTTATTGAAGAGTTATTTTAAAAACTTGATCCTTAGATGATAACCTTAGTGAACAAGGTCAGTTTCAATAGAAGTCTCTCGACTGAAAGACTAAGCGTGCGTCTAATGCAAAGCGATGGATCATTCTATTGTACTGCAATGATTACTGTTAGGACAGAAGCAATCAGTGGATGTCTTCAATAAGCCAAAAAGGCGGTTTGGATTACTTCTTATTTCAAGATGAAAAATAGAACGTTCAATGAGTTCAAAGTCATCATCTCTAGTATTTAAATCAATTTAGTTCAGCCATGTACTTTGTACACATGTAGTAGCAAACAACGCCATGACAGTAATCAAGACTTTCGGGACCGTAATCGACAGTCAATGCGATGAAAGGCCAAAAAAGTGAAAAATTCAGTTCATGAAGTAATCAGGAGATTTCTCATGTACTTATAAATCTAATGGATAGAGATTTATGCTGGGTGGTGACTGAAGGTGAAATGAAAGTCTGGACTGCAGCCGGATTCGAACCAGCAGCCCCTGGGTTCCCGGCCCGATGGTCTATCAACTGCGCTACTATGTCCGACTGCTGACTACATCCTTGTTTTACTTCAGTCACCGAGGTGTTTTGCCCGACTACCATGTGAATTTGAAACACATTACCACCGTTTGTTTGTACTCACATTGGCTGCCCGCAATCAAAACTTCTCATCCCAATCGAAATGTAAATGGATTAGTGAGTAGGGGAACATCATATTGATTTTCGTTTCTGACTGTGTGATGACTGAAGGTGAAATGAAAATTTGAATGGGAGCCAGATTCGAACTGGCGACCGGACCAGTGTCAGGCCGGAAACCCGGTAATCACTGGTTCGATTCCGGCCGCGATCCATATTTTCATTTCACTTTCAGTCACCAACCAGTATCAGTAATACTGGTCTACCAAACCACGACTATCTCAGATAGTCAAAATGAATAAAAAATTTCCAAGGTTGGCTAAACTTCAAACAGAGAAAACAGCCTGTTGTAAGATGTCATTTAAATAGCAAAATGGGGGTTGGAAAGGATAACAATCAACGGAGGAAAATTCAATTTCGATTTTCAACAGCATTGGACCGAAAGATTATTTTTATCCGAATTCATCTCTTGATCACAAGGTGTTCTAATGATGACGTGATTTCTGTTGTTGATTAATGATTCCGTCTCAGGAGTGACCATTGGTAGCTGATAAAAAACGGAGAGAATCATCTCAGAACCTCACATACAAGTACATTACTCCAAGTCGCCACACTCCACAGTAGCATACAATGAAAAGCTGGGTAGAATGAGAGTGGTATCAAAGTGGATAGTGGTGTATGGGATGAGAGGAAACTTAAAAATGAAGGTTAGTCAAAACATCTGCAGCATTGTGACCAATCTTCTACTATATCACTAAGAGTTCTTAGCCAATGTTTCCTGTCGTCTAGTGGATCCAAAACAGACAGTCTACATCTTACTACACACCTCAGGCCAACAGTCAGAGACTTCATTGACTAGTGCCACATCTTCGTCTATTCATCCTGAGTTATTAACAGTCTTCAAAGACGCCTGGAACGCTAGGCGGAGAACTTTGAAAAGTAGTTCAACTAGCAAACATCTCCAGTATCTTTAGTTTCAGTGTGTTGGAATCTTTGGTCAATTAACACTGACCCACCTAACGAGGTGGAGGTCTATAAGGAACTCCAAGTTCTGAGACGTCACAAGGCACCCGGCCCAGACAAGTTACTCCTGGCTCTTTCTAAGAATGGAGGGACGACTTTTGTTGCAGAACTGACTAGATTGTTTGAGGAGGTATGATAAAATGGGAGTGTTCCATCACTTTGGAATGGAGCCATCGTTGTACTCACCTTTATAAAGGATCTATGTAATGCGCGTGACAATCGTCGGGATCGCGTCCAAAATATTGGCTGGTATCATACTTCACAGACTTTGCAAAACATGTGAGAAAATGACTCGCGGGGAGCAGGCTGGATTTTGTTCGGGTTGCGGATGAAATGATCATGTATCTACCTTTCCCTAGATGCTTGAACATCGTTATATGTATTGCAGATCAACAACCATAGTGTTTCTTGATGTTAGGACTCCTTTCGGTTAATTGGACAGAGCTGTACTCTGGGACTGTCTGCTAAAGAGGGCATGCCTGGGAAATTTCTTAACATCTTGAAATCCCTATATAATAACGCCACAGGTAGAGTGACGACATGCAGCCACCTGTTTCTATTGTTGAAAATCAGCAGTGGGGTTGGGCAGGGTTGTCGTAGTTCTCCATTTCTCTCCAACTTTTCGGTCGATGGCATTCTTGAGACAGCTGTGAAAGAGCTGTATGATGGTGGTGTACATCTACTCCCAGGAGAACGGTTATTTGACCTTTAATATGCAGACTATGTTGTTTTACTGTGGTATGCCATACAGACTGCTCAAGTCACACTTCATCAGTTGGGAATTAGTGTTCTTAAGTATGGTATGTACTTTGCACCATCGAAGTACACAGTATTTTTGCAAGATTAGCAATAGCCTGTGCCTGCGCTCACCCTTGATGATGAGCTATTGGAAATAATCAAAACCTTCATGTATCTGGGTAGTTGTGTGAGTGCTAGTGGAAGTATAAGTGATGAAATTTCCAACTGCATATCGAAATCCAGAATAGGAATACGTCAGTCTAAGCCACCTTTAGCGCCATCGCGACGTTAGTATGACCGTAAAAGATCAGGTTTATAACTCTTCGGTGCAAGAAGTTCTGCTCTACGACTGTGAAACCTGGCTTCTCTGAGCTGAGGATATGTGACGACTCTGTGTGTTACACCATCGTCTCCGTACGATTGCTTGTATTCAGTAGCAACACCGTGTAAGTAATTCTGAAGTATAACAATGTGTGTTTGGCCGTGATAGAGATCGTCATCCACTAAGTGAAGTGATCTGGAAACAGCGTCTTCGGTGGCTTGGATATGTGTTACGCATGTCGTCTCAAAGGCTTCCACAGTGTTCATTGAGTGAAAGAAGTGGAAGGGTGGTCAGTGTATGACGTGGCATCTTGGGATCAAGGAAAGTTGTATCGGGTTATCATCTGTTGGTGCTTCATGACTCCCTGGTTCAGGTCCAAGAGATCATGCAATTCAGTTCCCTGAGACATTATCAGATATGGCTCAGTATGGAAAGCAATGGTGGTCATGTTGTAGCTTCCTTCTATCTTCTGGTGCTGAAAAGTAATGAAAGTTTCGTTTTCAATGTATCTTACTGGACTGCCCTTTTAATCATTTTATTCTTATTTTATTTTTTTCCTTATCCACTTCCAATTGCTTTAGGTCTTCATAATGTTGTTATGTTATTTTGTGTGATGCATTTCCTGGTATCCTTACTGTACCACGTTTGTGTTCTAATAATAAGTTTGAACCTAATAACTAAATGTATGTCCATAAACTGAAATGTCCTTCTGCTATAAAAGGTTGAACAAAATTCGCTTGAGTATATTTTAGCCGACAATTTATTCAGAATTATTTTACAACCATTTTTTTGATAAACTTTTAAGAACTCCTTTATACCGTCACTGAAAAGCAACTAGTGAAACAATCAATCAGGTTTCGGTCTTTCGGCTGAAGAAGGACTTAATTGGTCATGTAAGCAGTCTTCAAAGTCACTCTTTTTTAAAGATCCACTGATTACTGTTTCATATCCCTCCAGAGTGAAGTAATCACCAGCTAACTGAAAAAACAATGCCATTCTCGTATTCAACCTAAATGCCTATTGCATATTTGCATTTCAATGTATATGTTATCGACGTGTTATTCAACTGCAGAAACGAATCATGTGTAAGTCTAAGATACGCTTGTGTAAATATCTCCTTCCATTTTCTAAGTAAAGTCAGTGACTCATAGGCATGACAAAAGTATAAGGTAAGTGTAGCTTAAGCCAGATAATGAGGTGTACTGACACGAATGATTACAAAAGAAATTCAACCAACTGCTGAAATAACCAATCAGCTTCGAGATTTTGTATGCGATGATAGTTTTTAGAAAATAGCGAAACCTGATTGGTTATATCTCAACAATTCTCAAGGTGACACTTAAATTCATTCACTGAAAATCAATACTCATATGACTGTTCTACTCTATTACTTTACAGTTAAGAAGATTAATCCATTGAAGCAAAGCATACAGTTGACTCGATGTCACAATACCTTCACCAAGAGATGAGCAGAATAAATAGAAAACAACAAATTCTTGGTATGACTTCGCATCGTCTGCAGACAGTGAAAATGTAGTATGAAGTGGATTCGAAAGAAGCTGGGGTTTGACGCAAAATGCAGTTTTCAACAAGCTCCAAATAGAAAAAAGGCCGTGAGTGATTTGATGCAGAAGATATGTTAATGATCGGTCAAGAAATATGTTTGAATGAGTGAGTGTAGGAAAAGAATAAGTGTCCTTAATGTGTCTATCCTTTGACAGCCTGATTTGGTCGCTAATGTTTTCTAATTTTTGTACAAGTTGGATATATTTTATGAAATCCATCATGTCAGCCAGTGATCTTCCTTCTATGTCATCTGATGTAATGGTGGTGCCAGTAGATTCAGTTCGAACATAGCAATGGTTGGCAGTTCTGTCATTTTGTTAATCCCGTAGAATCAAATA